CCCCAACACGTTCGCTAGATTCTATAGCCTTCGTGTGGAGCCGGTATCATCCTGTGTTCTCACCTCAAACTGGTAGAGGTGGCACTGAGAGGCCGGTTAGTGTCAGCTTGCTAAAACTGCTCCAGAGTGTCCGTACTGTAGGCCCTGTCGAGCTCCTCCATCCCCTCGGCAGCCAGACGTGGCGGAATGTCCGGCGCCAGGCCCTCACTCAATGAATCTGTGAGAACCGGAAGAGGGCTGGGTTCCATATGTAGAGGCCACGGTATAGCCTCAGAGTCTGTGTTTCTCCAGCAGACTTCTGCCATTTCCATGAGGGTTACAATTACCTCTAATCTTCCATATGCACCTAAACGGATGTCATATGTGTAAGTGCTTCCGAAACCTCCTTCGGGAAGGATGGGGCTTCCGCAACATTCCTGTTCCAAGTGGAACGGGTACGTTTTCCCAGTGTTATCCAATCTCACTGAGGGGGTAGTGCTATGACAACAGTGACTGGTCTTCTTGTTGCGAGCCCCGGCCTACACCACAAAGGGGCACAGGCGGCTCGCACAGGCCACTGGAAGGGGCAGCATCCATGGCGCTTTGGTAGAGATCCCAATTTGTCGGTCACCGACGTGACGTCTCCATTCCCTCCTTCAGGGAACGAGGGTTACATACGGCTAATGGCATAATGGTATTTGACGTAAATCGGTTAACATATGGCTGGTTCAGAGACAAATGAGAAGATTTAGTTTGAGGAGAAAATGTCTGTTATGTAGATTAATAGCAGGAGACGTTCTGCTTCATCTGCCAGCCTGTCTGTCTCTCACTGGGAGACCAGAGACAGCATTCTCTCTTCTTATGTAACAGTATTAAACTTTTTCATTCTAGCTGTCCTATCTTAGTAACTCTGGTCCTATCAACACTTTTTTCCCCATGAGCTCAGACCATTAATCTTGATTTAATCTGCTGGCGATCATATTTTGTTCACTGCCAATACAGGGGCCGGTAATATGAGCAATTACCTTAAAATATCTGAGAAAAAGTAAATAACAGTTTGTTAAATGTCATCTTCACTATAGTTGCTTTCTCTCTTCTAGGTAACCAAACCTCACCAGAGGAGAGAGTTTGTCTCTATCATCTCAGTCCCGAGTCCCATGTTACACACTGTAACATCCAGAGCTCAGCTTGGACTCAAATACAGAGACATAGAATTGAACATTGATTTCCAGAGACATTGCGACAACTTTCCAAGAGTATTTCACCTTTCATAAGTGTGTGTGTGTATTGTTTTTTGTAAGGTGTATACATTACCTTGCTTGGTGTCCACGGTGTTGACAGCCTGGATGAGTAGAGGTGCATTGGACTCAGTGTATTCCACAAAAACCAGCAGCAGCTTCAGAGCAGTTTTAACAACCAACCGGAACTGCACACATAAAGAAACACTATTTATCTCTATACAACAATGTAAACAACACTAACCTTAACATTTGTCTTTACACCCAATTATATGACATTTTGCAGCTCACACATGATCTTACACTGTCTAGACGAAATTAACTGTATATTTAAAGGGTGTAAAAGCCCAGAGAATATCTTGACACATTTTCCTGAATGGGGTACTATGGAGGATATTGATAACAGCTTCTGACACATGACTGCACACTGACAGGAGGAGGAGCTACTTTAAATGTCCTGCAAGTAGCCTGTTGAAACCCTTTTTTCCTGTCTGTTCTCTTGGTTTTTAGTCCTCTATCTTAATTTTTACTTACTTACAATGTTTCTATTTCATACTGTATTTTGTGCAACTTTATGCCCATTATGTGAACCTATTTCCTATAAACATCAATTAAACAGTGGTGTCACTGCAAAAAACACATTTAGTCATGTTAATTTTTCTTACCCCACTGGCAATTTTTGTTTTGTTTTGTTTTGTTGTTGGATGTTTGTGTGTGTGTTTTAAGCACAATTCTAACACAAAATTGAGGTTTGTGATCAAAATATAAACAATTTGCTAATGAGTTAAAAAATAAACTAAATTTATTACATATTTTCTAAAAACAGGATTTATTACCGTATACAGATTTTCTTCTCAAAGAAAATTTCTCATCAGGATATTTTTTTAGAGGAAAACAAAAATTACAGATTTAAAAATTATTAAAAAAAGGATTTTTGCTTTTGCAAAATTTTATATACTTTCTTAAATGAATCAGACATGGAGATATTGAGCCATTGTGTTTCCCTGATAAGGAGAAGAGCCACAGGAAAAACAAATTGAAAAGAAAAGAAGAGCAAAACATACAGGTTCAGGAATGTGAATGTGTATATGGAGTGGAGTGGAGAAACAGGAGTAGAAACAGATCTGTGTTTAATAAAATAAGACCTGCTTTTTCAAACCATACTGTGTATTTAATATGTATCATATAACAGAAAGAGAGAGAAGAGGAAATGCATTTAAACACTGCTGCATCCAGCACAGAACTCCATAAAAATATCTATTGATGTGGTGATCACAAACATCCATTCTCATCCAACCTCTAGCACACACATCCATGTGTCATCATCACATGTGCTCATATTGCCACTAGATAGCCGGACAGGATTGAGAAAGGAAATCAGTCCAGAACACTGGATTGTGCCGTGCGAAACCGTGCCACACTCTGTGTGCTGGCACACCTGGAAGCTGCCCTGCTGAGTTAAAGCATGCTTTACAAACATTGGCTTAAAAGAACATAAATACAGGGAAAAAACAGGAAAGTCAGTCATGAACACTGCGTGCAAAACTACGCCACCCTATGAGTATTGTTCAAGTTGGCACACCTGGAAGCTGCCCTAACTTAAAACATTTGCAAACATTGGCTAAAAAGAACATAAATACCAGAAAAAACACCATTCAGGCCTTACTGAATTCATTACCTCTAAACAAAATAATAGATCTGGATATTCAAAGCAAAAGTTTCTCCTCTACTTTTACTTCAAGACTATTTTGTCTAAATTAAGAGTGAAACACTAAAAACTAAAATCAACTTAACAGTGTAATTAAATTATTAGTTTATTTAAAGATTAATTATTTTTTATTAGTTAAATGATTAGTTAATTTAAACATTAACTTTAAGTGAGCACAATTACATATTTAATATCAACTGATATATATATATATGTCTTTTACCTTTGATCCAACTAGTGTGTAAAGCCACTGTACAGTTTCATTGTGTCCGATAAGCCCATTCATTCCATCCACATACAGCATGATTTGTCCAAGAGCTGAAAGAAAGAAAGAGAGATAAACATATAAATAATTTTAAGTCGCTGCAGTTATAGGGTGATTGGATTACTAGGATGTTCTGGGTAATGCTGATTAGTTCAAGTCTGACAAGTCCAATACCAACACTCTTCAATATTCTAGTCTTTTGTTCTAGCTTGGATTCTAGTGTCCAATCCTTCATAAAAAATACAGATGAACTGAAAATAATTTCAAATTATTATTCAATAAAATAATGTAATATTATTTTAATAAAATAATAAAAATAACCTTTATATTTTATTGAAATTATTGCTATGACTGCTCTGAAGGGATTGTTTTCCAATTTTTATTCATTTGTAGCAAGTGTTTTAGAGATAAAGTTAAATATATTCACATGTATGGATTTGGCAGATGTCTTTATCCACATTGCATTCAAGATATACATTTGATCAGCTCATGCATTCCTTGGGAATTGAACCCATGACCTTGGCGTTGCTAGTGCCATGTTATGTTTGAGCCACAGGAACACAATAAACAGTTCACTGCTTTGAAGTTAATCCATTACATCTTCTGGAACTCAATTAAAACTCCATTTCATTACAAAAGGATAAATTGATGTGTGCTAGCGTGGGATCTGAACCTGAATAAATTTGAACAGGAGTATGAATTCAAGATTTTAGTATATAATATTCATTGAGCAAAATTGTGTGCTTTGAAAATGATCGATTTTCATTTGACACACAACAAAGAAGCAACATTGTCTTGTTCCACAGATGTGCATGAAGCATGTGTGTGTCTTTGCATGTGATACACATGTGGTCAGTGTTTCCATTGTCTTCATAAAACATCATTGGCTCTCCTTAACAACTCAGGGGAGGTCTTCTGGTGAGGGAAGTGTCGTGACAGAGCCTGAGTTATAAAGAAAATACTTCACACACCAATGCACCCTCACATATGTGTCCAAAGTTTAAAGCAACCAGAATACAAACAGACACAGTCTTCTATATGTGAAGAGTAGGATTTCACTCTGATCAAAGTGAATAGTGTCAATGAGATCCATCTGGAGCTGTCTGAATCACATCTCTGCTGCAAAGAGTTATTGTATCATACACACACACACATTAACTCACATGCTCCCTGGAAGATATAAGCTGTAACAGGTGAACCATTCTCAAATAAACAACTGAACTGTTACACTTTGAATCTTCACACAAACACAGAAATATACAAACACACCAACACAAAACCACATTTATAGGTTAATGCAATCAAGTTGCATTAAATTACAACCTAAGTGTCCTGGAACTAAATAATGATGGTGGAAACAAACATTGCCGACCAATCCTACCATAGCAAATGCTGTTCATTATTTTCCCAGACAAACTTTAGTGTTTATATAGTTTTCAATGAAATTGTAATACATTTACATTTTGCAGTTTAATACATAATACACAATGCAATATTGGAATTATATAAATATTGGAAATATATAAAAATATATAATATATACAGGTGCATCTCAATAAATTAGAATGTTGTGGAAAAGTTCATTTATTTCAGTAATTCAACTCAAATTGTGAAACTCGTGTATTAAATAAATTCAATGCACACAGACTGAAGTAGTTTAAGTCTTTGGTTCTGTTAATTGAACTTTTCCACGACATTCTAATTTATTGAGATGCACCTGCATATCAAAGTTGATGCTTTGGATTAAACTGTGTGTTAACCCTCATTCCTGAAAGTAGACATTTGCAATTAATGCTACTAAATTAACATAATTAAATTTAAGTATTAACGATCACAACTGGTCATTGAAATGTGGAAAGTAACGTCTAGGTTACTTGTGTAACCCTCGTTCCCTGAAGGAGGGAAC